CTGAGCCTGACCCGAGGGCGGCGGGGCGGGCGCGCGCTGCGGCGGGCTCGCTGGGGCAGGTGGGGCGGCTCGCCCGGGAGCAGGGAGGAGCCAGGTCGGCGCGCACCGCCCGAAGGTGAGGCTCTGGGGCGGAGGCCGGCCCGCGGGGAGCCGGACCCAGGGAGAAGCCGCCGTCCAGCCTGCCCGCCGCTCCCGCTCCAGGGAGCGCGCCCGCCCTCCCCGCGGCCGGGGTGAGACCCCGCGCGGGTAACCCGGGTCGGGCGGAGCGAGGGCTCGGGAATGAATGAGCGTGTCCCTGTCACGTGGCTCTCGCGGAACTCGGAGGTGGAAGGCCGCCGGCCCGCGGGGAGCCGGACCCAGGGAGAAGCCGCCGTCCAGCCTGCCCGCCGCTCCCGCTCCAGGGAGCGCGCCCGCCCTCCCCGCGGCCGGGGTGAGACCCCGCGCGGGTAACCCGGGTCGGGCGGAGCGAGGGCTCGGGAATGAATGAGCGTGTCCCTGTCACGTGGCTCTCGCGGAACTCGGAGGTGGAAGGCCAGGTGCTTTGTGAAGATGAGAGTTGTAAAACATGCCTCCCTCCCCCGGCCATGGAGTGAAACGGGTGCACCTTGAGTACGGAGAATTGGTGGGGCGGGAACTGAACCAAGCTCCTGTCCTTTTAGGATTAGAGGGGTGGGAGTGAGGCAGGAAGAAAGCTAGAAAATGGGAGTGGGCGAAAGGGTCTGTGGCTGCCTACAGGGCTAGATGGAAAAGCCTATCAGGGCAGAAAATCTTCCTACCCAAGGTAAGGTAAGGTAAGGGGGAGATTCCCAGTGGGAATTGTTAATACTGCAGTGAGCCTGTTCACCCTCTGGTGGCAGACCCCTACAGCTTGCTGTCCCAGATCCCCGGGTCACTGAACGGTACTCTGTTAGACCTCACAGACGCAGGACCCTTACCCAGGGGAAGATTGACAAGTAGGCTTTACCCATATGCCATCGTGCAAAGGCTATATGCCTCTTAGTTTTCATGGATACGTCCATGGGCGGAGGCGTTCCCTACCTGTACAGAAAAAGCAGCAGGAGTAGTGAAGTTCTTAAAGGAACTCATCTGAAGGTCCAGACTACCTCATAGTCTACAGGTGATAACAGCTCCTCCTGCATCTCACAAATTACACAGAGTGGCCAGAGCTTTGGGAATAAAATAGTTTTGCATTCTGCATGGAAGCCACACTTTTCGGGCAAAGTAGAGCTAATCAGATCTTAAAGTGCAATCTTGCTAGTCTTTGCCAGGAAACATCTGAACATTGGGTCTCTGTGCTCCCAGTCACCCCGGGCCAAGCTCACTTTTAGCCTCTAAGAGATGTTGTATGATAGACCTTTTCTTTTGACTGATAGGCTTACAGACTGTAAAACGTAAGGCACATCGCCAGTGGATTTCAGACACCCCTAAGGGAGCATGGCGTCCGCGGTCTACCTTCCCCTGACAGTAGTGTTCAGCATGTTCATGTAAAGCCAGGAGACCAAGTTCTGATTAAAACTTGGAAGGAAGGAAATCCCAGTGGTCAGTTGAAACCATTTTTAGTCATTCTAGCAACCCCTTCAGCAATAAAAGAATTGGGTAGTTGGATTCATCACTCCAGGGTGAAGCTTGCACCGTTCTCATTACAGAAAGCCGAAAATGATAATGGAGAACCCCGCTCCAGGAAGAAACAGCTGATACCTGTGAGCCACTGGAGGAGTTGAGACTTCTCTTTAAAAAGAAACAGATGTCCAGCTGAGTAAGTATTGACATGGAGAATGCTATAGCGTTTATCTTACTCTCTGGTTTATACACAGACAGCATCATGGGGTAGAAAGGGCCATCTAGTGAAAACATTTTAGACACTAAGTATTTATATAAAACTTGAGAACTGACTCATCATCTCTTAAACTCTTCCAACCCACGTTTGGCTAAGGACTGCTGGCTTCATTTATCCTTTTCCTCTACTCAATACACAGCTTTCTCTATTCCTTTTTTTTTTTCCTCCAGAATTTAAAAAATGTTTAATGTAGTTCAGACAGCGTCTGGTTCATTTTAGCTCCTTAGCTGCCAAACCTGGGGGCAAGGACTGCTTCAGCTTCTCCACCTTCTCTTTGTCTGTGATGACCAAGGTGTAAAAGTATCTGCTGCATCCAAGTTTAAACTTCACATTATTCCTAATGTTTCTTGATCTTGACAGATTTGGCATCCTTCTGCCAGACTGTTAGCAGAAAGTCCAACTTTCTGAGGTGTGGTGGGGAGCACGGGAGAGGGCCTCAATGGCACTGCCCAAGAGATCTTCACCTGTCCCTATTCCTATTCTAACATAGGCCACTAGCGTAATGACTCCCCATCCTAAGTATAGGGGTCCACCTTTCCAGTTAATGAATATACAGGACTTGCAGGCTTTTAAAGTACCTGAGTGGACTGAGTACACACGAACAGCAAGGGCAGTTAACCTTCTCCGATCCTTCCAACAGCTTCGCCACTGAGAGCCCCAGTTTGGGAACCTGTAACAGTGACTGATCCCTTAAAATTCCAGGCACCCATCTGTGTTAGAAGAACTCACAGTACAACCCAAGGACAACCACTAGGTGCCTTAGACCAGTCTCTGAAATCATACTGTAGTAGCACAACCTTCTAAAGATTGGCTACTTACTGGAAACTCAGTGTGCACCACTCACCAACCCAGCGGGTTTCTCTGGGAAGCCTCGACTTCACTTCCATCTCATTGAACAGGAATTCTGGATATTGCCAAGGGAGACCTAACCAATGCACTAGCACCCTTCCTTGGCACGACGGTACCAATGCACAGACTGAGGAATGTCTCCTCATACTTAAGTATGAAAAGTTAAACGTCTGTGTTTATTTCAACACTGTAAGGTATTATTTACACTGGGAAGACAGAACCCAAGGACCCATACAGGGTATCTCCCAGGTTACTCCCATAAACCGCTTATGGGAGTAACCTTGGCAGGAAGCCTTTCAGAGATATACAGAGAGAGAGAAAGAGAGAGAGAGAGAGAGAATGAGAAAGCAAGCCACCAGGTCTGGGACTCAAACTGTGGTCAGCCATGTGGGAGTGTCCATTGCCTTAACCACCAAGCTGCTGCTGGCCCCATCAGCTGCAAGTTTCTTTGCTTTATCTAACCAGGTTTTCTCAACTTCAGCACAACTGGCATTTTGGATGGGTGGAGGGCTGTGCAGGATCTCCACCCCACTAAATATCAGTGGCATATGGACAGTTGAAGTTCACTTAAAGTTAGGGTAAATTTCAGGACAACTGGATCAGTTCGTTGAAATAACAGTTTGCTCTTCTAGGTAGGCAGTGGTAGAATAATGGATTAACCTCAGTGTTCTCCTGTTTTGCATTTAATAGTATTCGGTAAAACAGTGACAGCACTGCTTCCAAGTGTGTGTGGAAAGGAATTTACAATTCTTATTGTGATGCCTGGTATGCGGTATGATGCAGGAACGAGTTGTTTCCTGGGAAACAGTCCAATTTCTTTGCGTGAGACCGTTGAAGCTTCTCCTTTCCTGCCACTCCCTCTACGCCCCACACCCGTTCTGCAGCTACACCGGGCTCCTTACCTGTAGAGCTCCCGAAGCATTTCATGGAATCCGTGATTTTCTCTCCCATGTGAACATCTCCTCTTTCGTCCCCGTCTCTTTATTAAATTCAATCAAGATTTCGTTTCAGGTGTTGGCTCTTCTGTACACAGTATGTGAAGATCTAAAATGTTTTCATGACAGAGCTGGAATGACTGACTATCCCTCTTTCCAAGGTATGGAAGCATGGAGAATGTCTACCGGGAGATGGTAGGGGCTGGGGCTATGTATGGTGAGAAGGCTATTGCCGAGTGCTGGAAGCAGTTCCAAGGGGCAGGTGAGGCTGTGACAGTGGGGAAGGTGCTGATGGATCTAAAGATATGCAGAGAGAGCATTGGCTCGATTCGAAGCACTGTGTGTGGCATCGTTGACGTTATAAAGTGATTTAGTGGTTAGAGGTTGAGGTTAACCTCATTTCCTGTCAGAGAAGAAGATGACGAGTTCAATTTGGAACGCTTTCCAAACTTGTATGTTAAACTTCTTCTACATAGCGTCTGTGAGATTGATGCTGTTCATCATTGTGTTTTAGCCGCAATTCTTTGCATACATAGTTTAGGAAATACTTGAATTGAGTTAAATTCGAGGTGGCCGGGAACCCAGCGCCTGATTGAGATGGCTGGTGGGAAGTTGTAGCTGTGAGTCTGAGGTTCATAAGAGGGTCTTGAGTGGAGATTTATAGGTAGCATCTGGTAATACCAAGGCATAATTAATGTATTGGGGATGTCTGAGGGGTAAAAGGGCCAAGAACAAACTCCTGAGACACTTGGCCCCACAAGAAAAAGTTAGGATCAGGAAATCCTCAGATCCTTCAGGAGAGGGTGGTATGACAGCTAAAATGAAGAGAGGTTTTGTTTTTCTTCATTTTTCTTTTCCAGTTTGCTGTAGGGTGCATGCACTTGCCAGGGAAGGGGCAGGGAGTGAGAAAGCTCCTCCCAGGAGAGAGGACTACACCGCATTCCTTCTCCTCAATCCTCCTTTCAGGGTTTTGCACACCTTACACACATGACTGGCATGTTTTCCAAGCCGCTCGGTCCAGGACTCAAACTATGTGTTTGTTGTGGGGAATCCAGCTGCCTTAAGTTTCATACCACCTGCTGGCCCAAGAATGGAGGAAGTTTGGAGAGTGCTCAGACTGTCCTAAGTCTGCATTTCATTGCCATGGTAAAATTCATTTGTTTGTACATTCATTTATTCAGCAAACTATGCCTCCTAAAACTAAATGAAATTTTTTTTTTTCATAATTTTTTTCCTCATTTTTGGAGAGGTGTTTGCTATAGGGTGCGTGCGCTTGCTGGGCAGACAGAGACAGACAGAGAGTCAGAAAGCGAGAGATCACCCCCCGGGGGGGATGGCCATGCCGTAGTCCCTTCTCCTCCATTCTTCTCTCTGGATCTTGGGCGCACATGCGCCCAGTGTGAGTTTTAAGCCACCGGGTCTGGGACGCGAACCGCGGTCGACTACATGGGAGTCCAGCGACATAGCCATTACGCTAACTGCTGGTCCCAAAACTAAATGAAATTTAAGGTAATCATTCCATAATAATTAAATTTTGGGCTTTTGGCAATTAGTGTCTTTGTTGACTAATTCACTATTTTTTTTCCTTGCTTATAAAGGAAAGTTTCAGACAGGCTGAAGAGCTTGATGCTCAGTAGAAGACTTCATTTTTTTTTTTATGACTTAATTGTTTTTTCTAAGTAGGCCTTGGAGCTGGTTCCTGATGATGGAGTGATATACAATAGTATGGGGAAGTATCACTTCAGGAATGTAACCATTTCAGGATTAATTGTTAAGAATTATTCTTTTTCAGGGACCAGCAGATGGCGTAATGGCTATGTCGCTGGACTCCCACATAGTCAACCAAGGTTTGAGTCCTGACCCAGTGGATTCAATCCCACACTGGACATGTGTACGTGCATGCCCAAACATCCCAAGAGGAGAATGGAGGAGAAGGATTGCGGCGTGGCCATCCCTCCCACCGAGAGGTGAGTTCTCACTTTCTGTCTCTCTCTCGCTCTCTCTGGTGAGCACATGCACCCTATAGCAAAAACTTCTCTTAAAAAAAAAATAAAGGAACTATTCTGTTTTGGTCTGGATCAGGGATAAATCATAACAAGTGTGAACAGGCATTGTGTAATATAAAGCATCGTTAACTACCATGGAATCAGAGTGATAAGGGGGTGGCTAATAAGTAAAGAGCACCCAGAAAAATGCAGGACTACCAGAGTTCATGGGTACTAGTGTAGCAGTTTCTGTTTTCTATAAGACACTGTAGAACAACCACTGCTCCTAGGACTGAGATAGAATATCAAAGGAGTAGTTGCCCTCTTGGGCTGAGATCCAGACCTTGCTGTGGAGGGCACATTGTGGTTCACAGGATGGCATGGAGTCACTGTGGTACATTGCCAGGGAACTCGTCAATCTGTTCTGTGGAACTTACTGACATTTTATCTTTTGGGGTGCCAGAGAAAGCCCCTTGGGCATTCAGAAAGCTCCAGAGCATTCCATCATTAAACCTCCCAGTTGTGTGGGAGGGCCTGTGAAAGCTGCTGACCATTGGATGCCACTGACTGCCATATACTGCAGGAGCCTGATGCTAGAAGCAGGAAGCAAAGCCCTTCCTCCTACAGTTCTCTTTAACACTTTGTACTGGCAAGGCCCACCCTCATGCCAACTGGTAGCAAAATATTAAAGGGCTAGAGATATTTTTGCAGAATAGGCAAAGATGAATCTGGCAGTAAGCTGACAGCCTGCTAGGTTGGGGTTCTCTATGCCCACCCAGGTTCTCTGCGTTGCTAGGTGGCTCACAGGACTCAGCGTGCAGTTGTAGTCATGGCTCCGACTTACTGCAGTAAAATGATACAGAGCAAAGTTGGCAAAGAGAAAATGTGCATGGAGCAACGTCTGAAAGAGACCAGGGGCTGGCCTCCAGAGGCCCTTCCTATGGAGTCACACAGAGTGACTAAAGCCCTTCTAAGATTGTGACACTGCTGTCTTTAAGCATCTCGTTGGAGAGATAAAGTTAGAGAGTAGGGTACACATTAAAAAATTCACTCACAGGACCAGCAGTTGGCATAATGGCTACATCGCTGGACTCCCATGTAGTTGACTGTGGTTCGAGTCCTGGAACTGGTAGCTTAAACACACACAGGGCGTGTGTGCATGCATGCCCAAGATCTTGAGAATGGAGGAGAAGGGATTGCAGCGTGGCCATCCCCGCTGGGGGGGGGGGGCTAATTTCTCACTTTCTGTCTCTCTGTCTCTCTCTCTTTCTGGCAAGTGCATGTGCATACATCTCTATATAACCCTATTGACTACAGGTTTCTCGACAACCAGCAAAACCAGAGTTCCTGAAATGTTCAACTTAGAGAATTGTAGCAGCTGTTTCATGTTCTTTCGTTTCTTTTTTCCAGCTCTCCACATGATGTGTGTAGAGCACCTGTAGTGACTGATACGTCAGGTTCAGATGGGAGTATGTCTGAATTGATATCACCTCCTAGAGAGATGTGAGCTCGAGACATTTGCTTGCACAGTTTGTCTACTGGACCTGCTTGTGCAACTGCTGCTTTTGTTACTTAATGAAATGCTACTGGGAGTGTCCAGTTCGATGGTTCAGTGATCAGATAGTACCTAGTTTGCAATGAGTGGTTTAGTCATTGGAATCCCAAAATCAACTATTTCATTTCTATCAAAACCTAGTAGCCGGATGAGCTGGTGGTGTGGTGGTTCAGGCACCTGGATCACACATGGCTGACTGTGCTGTTCAAGTCCTGGACCCAGGGGCTTGTAAAAGACACAGGGTGCATGAGACTAGCAGTTAGTGTAATGGCTATGTCACTGGACTCCCATGTAGTCAACTGCGGTTCAAGTCCTGGACCTGGTGCCTTAAACTCAACGCCGGGCGTGTGTGCGTGCATGCCCAAGATCCCGAGAGGAGAATGGAGGAGAAGGGATTGTGGCGTGACCATACCCCCTGGGGGCTGATTTCTTGCTTTCTGTCTCTCTCTCTCTCTCTCTCTCTCTCTCTCTCTGTCTTTCTGGCGAGCACATGTGCCCTATAGCAAAAACTTCTTTAAAAAAAAAAAGAGGGACCAGCAGTTAGTGTAATGGCTATGTCGCTGGACTCCCATGTAGTCTACTGCAGTTCGTGTCCCGGACCCGGTGGCTTAAAACTCACACCGGGTGCGTGTGCATGCGTGCCCAAGATCCCAAGAGGAGAACGGGGGAGAAGGGATTGCAGCGTGGCCATCCCCCCGGGGGTGATATCTCGCTTTCTGTCTCTCTGTCTCTCTCTGACTTTCTGGCGAGCACATGGGCCCTGTAACGAAAACCTCTCCAAAAAAAAAAAAAAAAAACACAAGGTGCATGAATATGCATGCTCAAAATCCCAAGAGGATAATGGAAAAGAAGCGATTACAGGGAGGCCTACCCCGCTGGGGGATGCTTTCTCACTTTTCCCCTCTCTTTCCCCGTCTGTGTGTCTCTGGCAAGCGCACATGCTTTTAGCAAATAAGTAATAAATTTTAAAAGCTCAGTAGTGAGCTAGGATGGCCTTCCCCCAAAACAATGGGAGTTTGCAGTGGTAGTGTCTACAGCCCCTGCAGAAATATTGCTGCTGTTGTCTACTAGCTTGGTCTGTCATGGGGAAGCACTCTGGAGGCCCTTTCCTTTATAATAGCCCTCATTCCACAGCACGGGGCAACAGAATGGCATTCTGCTAGTTACGAGGTGTGTATATGTGTACATATGTGTGTGTGTACCCGTGTATGTACAGAGGTGTTCCTATCTTCATTCTAGGACTGGGATACACAGGGTGAAACTGCCATCCCACTAAACCCACTGTAAAATGAATTGTGGCCATAACTCCATCTGACGCCTGATGTCATAAGCCACTGTTCTGATTGGTGGGCTCTTGTGGCACTGCAAGTCTCTGGTGATGAGTGTATATCAGAGCTGGTACGTGCTAGTGCCCAGGAGGTCTGGATGCTTCCTTTTCCCTGGTGCACAGTTTCCTGGGTAAATCATTCCAGGCCATCTGTGGAAGGCTTGGGCGAACTTCCACTGTGTGCACCGGTGGTTTCCCTGCAGGGTGCTGCTTCAGAGGCCCGTGGCCTCCACCTCCTTTGAGGGGCTTCAAGTCTACTCAGTGGCATGGTTCCAGGAACCTGGTGGGAAGCCG